CACGCACACACACACGCACACACACACACACACACGCACACACACGCACACACACACACACCACCACCACCACACCAGAACTGCACGTCTGCGCTGTTCTTCGAGGGCCGCAAGCGCCAGGACCTCTACCTTTGGGCATCAAAGACGCCGGCCGGCCCCAGCGCCAAGTTCCTAGTGCAGGCGAGCCGCGAGAATTCGAATCTGCTTTCCGAGTATGGTTTTCCTTGCAGGCGTCGTCTGGTAGCTTGCGCAAATCCAGGGAATCAGGTTTGAAAGGGGGTAAGGGGTTGCGTGCTTGTGAGTGTGAGGCTGGCGTTGTCGCTGCGGCGCAGGCGCTCGGCGTAGGCTGCCCTCCAGAGGGAAGTGCCAGACCCGCGCCTGCACCTCCCAGACCCCGAGTGCACCCACCCTACACGCACGCACATTAAGGAACTCTCACGGACCTGTACACACACCAGTTGTGACCCTCACAATCCCGTATCTTTTCGTATTTGCACGTCAACAACCGCAGAACGTCCACACTATGGACGAGCTGAAGCTGACAGGCAACCACCTCAAAGGCAGCCGCCCCGTGCTGTCGTTTGACGGCGCGTTTGACCAGGAGCCCCACCTGCAGCTGCTCAAAGAGCTGTTCACGCAGGTGTGGATGGGGGGCCGGCTGACTGCGCCGCGCGAGAAGGAGGGGGAGGGCTTGGCGTCCAGGAGCTGTGGCGCGCAGGGGTGGCGCGGCGTGGGTGCAGATCGTTGCCGCGGGGGGTTTGGGCGTGAGCGGCTGCCGGGTGTTGACTGACGGCGGGCGCGTTTGACCGCGGGCCGCACCTGCAGCTGCTCAAAGAGCTGTTCACGGAGGTGAACGCCGGATGGCTGACCCGGCCGCACGAGGTGTCGTGGCGGGGCATGGCGCGGCGTGGCGTGGCGTGTGCCACCTGCCGCCGCGTGCGCCGGCGGGCGGGGGCGCGCAAGCGAGCGCTTCTTTCTGAGTCAAGTCATCAGCATCCTCCTTCCCTCATCCCTTTGCAACCCCTGGCATCGCACCTGCAGCCGCCGCCGACGCCCCCCAACCGCCGCTTCAACAACTCCCAACCGAACCGCCGTCCCCAGATCTTTTCGACCCCGCGGCGCCACCACAAGTCAAAGCCGTTCTTTGACCACGTGATCTCGTTCACGCACGCGGACGGCCGCGTCTGGTTCAGGAACTACCAGGTGAGTGTGTGTGTATATGTGTGTACGTGTGTGTACGTGTGCATGTGTATGTGTGTTTGTGTGTACGTGTGCATGTGTGTGTGAGTGCAAGGCGCCGCGATGCTGACACTTGGCCCGCTCCTGCGCGCTGAAAAGCAGCAGGTGGTGGTGACTCGTGTGATGCGATGCACTGCGCAGGTGTCGTCCAAATCCAAGGGGGTGCTGCAGTAGATCAAGCGCGTGTGCGCACGTGCGCGTGCACACACACACACACACACACACACACACACACACACACACACACACACACACACCCGCATGCACGCACACACACACACGCATGCACACACACACACACACACA